TATACTATATGGTACCATTGCACCATATGGCACCATTGTACCACATGGCACCATTGTACCATATGGTACCATTGTATTCAACACAATAACCACACTAATATTTTCATCATTTTGTTTACAATAAACTAGTATTAGTTTATACCTAGTTGTACTTTAGCTCATTCTGGCACAACACATAGACAATATCAACTTCATTATGTTTTTAGTGACTTGACTTCCAGCAAGCGTGTGTGAGCGTGTTAGATAGGAGTGAATGGAGACGAATGGTACTTGGGACCTGACGATCTGTTGGAGTGTGAGCAGGGTAATATTTAGTGAAGGGATTCAGGGAAACCGGTTATTTTCATATAGTCGGACTTGAGTCCTGGAAATGGGAAGTACAATGCCTGCACTTTAAAGGAGGGGTTTGGGATATTGGCAGTTTGGAGGGATATGTTGTGTATCTTTATATGTTTATGCTTCTAGACTGTTGTATTCTGAGCACCTCTGCAAAAACAGTGATAATGTGCGAGTGTGGTGAAAGTGTTGAATGATGATGAAAGTATTTTCTTTTTGGGGATTTTCTTTCTTTTTTGGGTCACCCTGCCTCGGTGGGAGACGGCCGACTTGTTGAAAAAAAAAAAAAAAAAAAAAAAAAAAAAAAAACTCTGTATGACCAAAGTGCTTTAGCAGTATACTTATCCAAACTTCCCACTACTACAGATATCGATATTAGAACTCACCGCACAATACAGGATATAAATAACCACTATTTAAACCTAAAAGATGAATGATCACGTTGACCCTGATCTAAACCTCCATAATCTAACACACAATCAAAACCTACTGGAAAGTAACTGCCTTTATTACACAGCATCACAAGCCAGCACTATCCTAAACAGTGCTCAAAGTCTATCAGTTCTTAACTACAACATCAGGTCCTTAAGCAAACACTATGATGACCTCCTGGCACTCCTTGAGTCGCTAAAGACACCCTTCTCCTGCATTATTCTTACTGAGACCTGGCTTAAGCAGGACACAAGAGATATCTACCCAATACCAGGATACACAGCAATCCACAACTGCAGACCATACCAAGTTGGGGGTGGTATTGCAATCTGTTACTCTAACCAACTATCTTGTATTAGCACCACTTGCTCTAGTGATGAATATAGGGAATACATTTTTGCTAATTTTACTGTTAAAACCCTTAAGACGCCTATAACAATCGGTGCCATTTACCGGATACCCCACACAAACATCCCAAATTTCAGTGAGAATCTAAAGACACTAATAACAAACAGACAAATGAACAAGCACCACCTTCTCTTAGCTGGTGACTTCAGTATCAACCTTGGCCTACCAGATGATCAGCCTGTAACTGATTTCATCAACAATATGAACAACACACTTCTCATACCAACAATAACTAAACCAACCAGGATGACTTGAGACGAGTGCAACCATAATAGAACACATATGGACCAATATACTAGCCCCCCTTAAAGCAGGGATAATCACAGACAGCACTACAGACCACTACCCAACCTTCCTCTTAACAAACATTAGTAAGCCACTGCTCGAATACAACAAAGTTTCATTTAGACTCCGTGATGAGGCCTCAACAAGGAATTTCACAGCAGACCTAGAGACTGTTGACTGGCCTACAGAATTCTCCAATGCCAATGGTACTGATGATTGGACAGACATTTTTCTTAACAAAACACTTAGACTATTCAACAAACATTGTCCTATAAAAACGAAACAGATCACGAAGAATTAAGAGTAAGACGGAGAATAGGATAGCAGATGAACAAGGAGGCTTTAGGAAAGGTAGGGGTGTGTAGACCAGGTGTTTACAGTGAAACATATAAGTGAACAGTATTTAGATAAGGCTAAAGAGGTTTTTGTGGCATTTATGGATTTGGAAAAGGCGTATGACAGGGTGGATAGGGGGGCAGTGTGGCAGATGTTGCAGGTGTATGGTGTAGGAGGTAGGTTACCGAAAGCAGTGAAGAGTTTTTACGAGGATAGTGAGGCTCAAGTTAGAGTATGTAGGAAAGAGGGAGATTATTTCCCAGTAAAAGTAGGCCTTAGACAAGGATGTGTGATGTCACCGTGGTTATTTAATATATTTATAGATGGGGTTGTAAGAGAAGTAAATGCGAGGGTCTTGGCAAGAGGCATGGAGTTAAAAGATAAAGAAACACACATAAAGTGGGAGTTGTCACAGTTGCTCTTTGCTGATGACACTGTGCTCTTGGGAGATTCTGAAGAGAAGTTGCAGAGGTTGGTGGATGAATTTAGTAGGGTATGCAAAAGAAGAAAATTAAAAGTGAATACAAGAAAGAGTAAGGTTATGAGGATAAAAAGATTAGGTGATGAAAGATTGGATATCAGATTGGAGGGAGAGAGTATGGAGGAGGTGAATGTATTCAGATGTTTGGGAGTGGACGTGTCAGCAGATGGGTCTATGAAAGATGAGGTGAATCATAGAATTGATGAGGGGAAAAGGGTAAGCGGTGCACTTAGGAGTCTGTGGAGACAAAGAACTTTGTCCTTGGAGGCAAAGAGGGGAATGTATGAGAGCATAGTTTTACCAACGCTCTTATATGGGTGTGAAGCATGGGTGATGAATGTTGCAGCGAGGAGAAGGCTGGAGGCAGTGGAGATGTCATGTCTGGGGTCAATGTGTGGTGTGAATATAATGCAGAGAATTCGTAGTTTGGAAGTTAGGAGGAGGTGCGGGATTACCAAAACTGTTGTTCAGAGGGCTGAGGAAGGGTTGTTGAGGTGGTTCGGACATGTAGAGAGAATGGAGTGAAACAGAGTGACTTCAAGAGTGTATCAGTCTGTAGTGGAAGGAAGGCGAGGTAGGGGTCGGCCTAGGAAAGGTTGGAGGGAGGGGTAAAGGAGGTTTTGTGTGCGAGGGGCTTGGACTTCCAGCAGGCATGCGTGAGCGTGTTTGATAGGAGTGAATGGAGACAAATGGTTTTTAATACTTGACGTGCTGTTGGAGTGTGAGCAAAGTAACATTTATGAAGGGGTTCAGGGAAACTGGCAGGCCGGACTTGAGTCCTGGAGATGGGAAGTACAGTGCCTGCACTCTGAAGGAGGGGTGTTAATGTTGCAGTTTAAAAACTGTAGTGTAAAGCACCCTTCTGGCAAGACAGTGATGGAGTGAATGATGGTGAAAGCTTTTCTTTTTCAGGCCACCCTGCCTTGGTGGGAATCGGCCAGTGTGATAATAAATAAATAAAATAACTAGAAATGTCGATTTAATAATTACGTTGGTCTGTGGGGCAGTTATGTCCAATATTTGATTGGGTGTATGCGAACACACTTACTCATACTCTAGCTCCGCAAGTTGATCATCTGGTTACCCTTACCAGAACCTTCCCATGCTATGTGCCCAGGCATCTGATACCTTCTTTGCAGCAGCGAGAGGGTGGCAAGTGTAAATAGTGTTGTCAGAAATGATGGGAGAAAGGGAAACAGTCCTGCTGCTGCTGTTTGTGCCTATTTTTCCCTCACCACAATATTCCCATGCCATGTGTCCAATCACTCGCCTCCCTCAACCACAACAGTGACAAGGTGGAAAGTATATATCAAGTGTATTATGTCAGATACAATGGGAGAGAGGGTGGGATAGAGGGAGGTTAGGAAATTGGAAATATGGGAAAAGTAGGAAAGGAAAAAGGGGAACTCTTCTGAGTACTATAATACATAGTCTTTAATTTTAGGTAAAAAAAAAAAAAAAAAAAATTAGTGGGGGATATGCTGTCTGTAAATCAAGTTCAAAAATATTTCTAAAATCTCCTGTATTGTCCTTGAAGCCATTTAGGTTTGGCAATGATCTTTGTAGAAAATTGTTCCTTAGATATTTTCTTTTAAACCTTTGAGGGTCGACAGGCCCTCTCCGAAACTTGTTCTCAGGGTCAGCCAAATTTCAAAAAAAAAAAAAAAAAAAAAAAATCTTACGAAAAGATGGAGAATCTTTTCCTGATCATAATGACACCAAAAGTATGAAATTTGATGGAAAACTTACAGAATTATGGTCTCGCGAAGTTAGCGGTCTCAACAATGTTTACGCATCGGCGATTTTGCCCACTTTGAGTCCTATTTTTGGCCAATTCCAATGTACTAGTCGACAAAAATCATAACTATTTTGCTAGAACTCCGTTTTTTCTATCGAATGAGTACAAGAAACCACCCATTTACCAATTTCAACTATCCAATAAAATGGTCAGAATTTAGCAATTTTGCCAATTTCACACAAATTTCAAAAGATGCCAATTTCCGAATAGGGTCCAGAATAAACAAGAAAGACATTCCTGGCACTAAAATAACAAGTTCTCTGTTCGTTAGTCACATCCCCAGGCCCCTCTTATATTTCTTTGGCTTTCCACTTCGAATTTTTTTTATTACAAAAAATAGAAGATTTACTGTTATGCAAACTGCTGCATTAGTGTAGAAATGGTATAAATAATATCAACGTACTTGTGAAAGAATATTAGACTCACCAGTTACGTGTATTGGACGTTTGGCATGATTTGTTTACTTTTGAACTTTGATAAAAGTCGAACATTTCTGCTACTTTGCACTCAATTTCAAGGTACTTTTCATTGTAAAACCAGTCAAAATCATCTTAATTTTTGTAATATGTCTTCCATTCTATAAAATGAAACCAAGAAAAATAGAATACAACAATAAATACCATACGAAAATACAGTGCAAAGTTGCTGTTTTATTCCAAAAACACGGTCAGTTTCTTTTTTTCGTTACGCACTGTGCTCTGCAGGAATTTTTTATACTGCGCACACTGACCACATAGACCCATTGTTTCATATGTAGGCCTACCAGATTTGAGGGCGCTAGAATTTAGGCGTACTAGTATGTGAAAAACCCTGGGTCGTAAGCCGTACTAGTATGGCCGAAATCCTCAAAGGGTTAACACTTAAGATAAAATTATAATCCTAACCATAATTACTGTTGAATAGTGCTGTACCTTATAACAGATTAAGATTATTTTTCTGCAGGTGTAGATGCTAATGGAAGTATGTCCTCCCCTGGACCTATCCTGGATGGTGTAGTAGATGGGAATCACTCTGGTCTGACGTCCCTGCACCGTGATGTAGATTCTCCACCTGTTCCTCCACATCCTTTGCATGGACCCCCTCCTATTCACCCAATGATGTTTGCACCAGGAGGTCCCCTTCCTCCTGGTGTACCACCACCACATGGTTTACCCCCAGGAGTTCCACCTCCTCCTGGACTACCTCATGGTGTACCACCACCACCTCATGGCTTGCCTCCTCCTCCTCCATTCCTCTCTGGGGAACCTCCATTTATGGGACCTTTACCTCCTCTTCCTGGGGATCGTCGCTTACCCCCTGCTGGTGGAATATCTTCACCTCCATTCCGGCGTACTGGGTCTCCAGCTTACGACCACCGAAATGATCGTTATTCACCTGGAAGTGACCGTTCACATTTCTCAGATCGCAGATATTCACCTCCACCCCATCGTAATAGGCCACCTTCACCAGAATTACACCGCAATCGGTCTCCTGATAGAAGATCTGATAGAACAAGATCGCCAGATAGACGTTCAGATCGCATGAGATCGCCAGATCGTCGGTCTCATCGACACAGCCCAGACCGTAGATTAGAAAGACGCTCTCCTGACAGACATTTCATCACGAGGTCACCAGATGGTTACATAAGGCATAGATCTTCTCCTCACTATTTTCATCAACCAGATTATAACAGTGATGACCCCAGGTTACGTCCACCTCATATTAAAGGTATGTTGAACTTGTGTGCACTGTTAGGTTTTGTGTGGACATATACATATAAGCATTCACATGTGTGCATGCTCTTAAGTATTGCCCGAAAGCTTTATGTTGAAGTGGAGCTAAAGGTTGTTTCCTTCCACACAGGGATCTCCTTTGTGTATTTTGGGTTTAGCCATTAAATGTTTGTTTGTTTTTATTTTGCATTATTTATTTGTTTTTATTTTTTTGCATGCTGCCAGAACTAGGAAACAGAAATTTTAAAAATCTACAAAACTTCTGGCAAAGTATAGAGCAAGGACAACTAATTGCCATGCTTTCAGACAATGACCACTCTGCTATAAAAATGTGAGAAGCATAGTATTTCATGTTTGAAATAAAAATGCTCCTAGTAATCTGGTAACTGCTTATCTAGATTGTTGATTCACTTGTACTCACCTATATGAAATTTAATTCAAACCTTTATGGATAATATTTAATTCTAAGCATTTGGATGTTACTATGCCTCTAATTTCACACAAGTTGTGATTTATATTGCAGCTGGCTTGTCTAGTTGTATTTTGACTGGCAGTTGGTAAATACTTAATTTTTTTTTTTCAACAAAACGGCCGTATCCCACCGAGGCAGGGTGGCCCAAAAAGAAAAACGAAAGTTTCTCTTTTTAAATTTACTAATTTATACAGGAGAAGGGGTTACTAGGCCCTTGCTCCTGGCATTTTAGTTGCCTCTTACAACACGCATGGCTTACAGAGGAAGAATTCTGTTCCACTTCCCCATGGAGATAAGAGGAAATAAACAAGAACAAGAACTAGAAAGAAAATAGAAGAAAGCCCAGAGGGGTGTGTATATATATGCTTGTACATGTATGTGTAGTGTGACCTAAGTGTAAGTAGAAGTAGCAAGACATACCTGAAATCTTGCATGTTTAAGAGACAGAAAAATGACACCAGCAATCCTACCATCATGTAAAACAATTACAGGATTCCGTTTTACACTCGGCAGGACGGTAGTACCTCCCTGGGCGGTTGCTGTCTGCCAACCTACTACTTACATCTACACACAAATATTTGGACTATTTTCAAAAGATATGAATCTCAAACATGCTCATTACTGTGTTATATTTACATAAGAATGGAAGATGCTGGGATCCCTTGGCCTTTGTGCCCATATGCAGTGCAGTAAAACCTCTCATTAACAGACTAATAGGGAGGATGTAGTGTACAATAATGCCAATTGTCAGCAAATCCTGAATTATGAAATTAATATCTCATGATCATTCTCTTTTGTTGAGGTAGTGGATTTTGTCCATTGATGTGGAGGACGACCAGACACTAAGAATATGGGCATTGTAACCTGTACAGTACTGTATGCTCATTTTGTATTACTCTTTGTAATTTACAGTAATTTTACTTACCTTTTCGTGGTGGAGAAATAAGGAGTAAACTGCTGTGATTAATAATGGTGTCTCAGAACTTTTGTTTTGAGTCAGAGGAGTTAGAAAGCTCTACAAATCTAGCTGGGGCTTGAATATGTTTAGTAAACATTTCTATATGGTACAAGCATTATCTTACACAAAGGGATAAAACAGCAGTGGAAAGAGAGTTGTGCTAACCTGGCTCTCAGATAAGTTGAATCCTGGGGAAATGCTAAACCCGTCAAGGTCATATAACACCTGGGAAATAGGAGGCATTCAGGTTAAATCCAAGGAAGGGAAAGAAATCCAATTCCTTGCATCAAGACCCCTCACTAGTACCAGGGAACCTCCCTTGAGGGGAGTAATGCCAGTATGTTATTAGAGGCTAACTAACTAGCAAAATGAGATCTGTATTAATGATAGCACCATTGAAAAAATAGCATATGAGATTTGGAGAGTTTCTTTGGTTATATAAAATAGGAAAAGTATTTTTGTTAAGTTTTGGTTTTTATGAGTAAATTTTTTTTAACACCAGCCATCTCCCACCAAGGTTAGGGTAGTGTCTAAATAATGTAACATCAGTCGTAGAAATGTAAATGGTATCTAATCCTATACAGCTCAGATAACAGTTGAAGGTGGTGTATGTTTTGGTTACCAATTAAACGTTCACATAGGAAAATGAATATGCTGGTAAGTGATAGTACTGTAAGTCCTAGTCTGAATATTTTCAAGTTTCAGTTAATGAGGAAGTTGATTATTTTATCATGCTTCAGCTTTGCTATGTTGTCACAAAGTACAATGTACTTATTTATGAATTTGCTTTAAATATCTGTTAGTTACACTGAGACTGAACATGTTGGTTAATAGGAGAAACAGGAGACATTATAACTACATAAAAGTCACCAACAGAGAGAACAAGGAATCAGTTTTAAACCAAGAAAAAATTCTGAAATCATAGTATTTCTAAGCAAATAATTGTGTATTTATGAAGTGGGGTACCAAAAAGGGGGGGAGGGGCTTAAGTGCAATAATTACTGGGATTCTTCAAATAATTATACAAGATTGTACACCACAAACACTGATATGCTTCTGTAACTTAAAATAGGCACTTAAATTGCAAATAACTAGTCAGTAACTAACTGCAGATGTGCTAGGTAGTTTGGTTAAAAGTGCAACCCCCATTAATTTTTTTTGCCAGTCTGTCTTCTGTTTTGTCATTCTAAGTGCTTAAAGATAATTGCTTCAACTTTGACAAGTGGATACCTTACTATACATTAAATATGTATCTGTGTTCTGAATCACTATAGAATTCTGTAAGTGATAGTTCTGAAGATATAATTTTGTTACATTTATGTGGTTGGTAGTATCAAGAGTAGTAATTGATAAAAAGAAGCAAAGGCTGTTTGTTTGAAACTGTATGTTGAATGAGTAGTCTAGTTAAATTGGTAAATATTATATTAATAGAGAAGCACTAAACTGAAAGAGGTCACACAAAGCATCATAACAGAAACTTTCAGTAATAAGTTGTGGTGACAGTTATACACAAGTTAAATACATTGAGAAATTAAATGTGTTTAATTTTGACCATTATGTTTTTCCTCAGGAAAGAAGACTTCTACTCCCCTGGGTTCATCAGATCGATGAGAGAATGAATGTTAGCAGCATTATAACAATCGAATGCATTGTGAATGTTGGTTCTATTAGATGCACATCTTTGGGTTTGTCATGGTTCTTCATCATCTTTCATTCTTTAAATGCTTTAAGTTAAGGTTATGAGAATTGTGCTTCCTCTGGCTGCTCCATGAATATTTAGCTGTTGGTCAGGGACCACTGTTTAAAAAGGTAAATATATTGCATATGCAATGTGAAACCATTTTGAACATCTTAAGTGATAAAATTTGAAAATTTAAATTAGTGACAAACTCAACAGTTACTGAGATGACTTAGTTAAAATGCTATTCAAAGGTAATATCTTCTATGTGCATTTTAACATTTTACTGTAATGAAATTATTAGAGATTACAGTGACAACCAGCTATATACGTACAATAGTGTACTGCTGTATAATTTTATACTGTATGAGCAAAATTTTGTGCTACTCAGACTTAGAATGGGGTATAATGTTTTAGGATTCTCAAATTATAAATTACAGTATTATATATTCATAAACTTTTAACAGGTAGGAAAATAAAAGGTGTATGCAGGGGAAGACAAGTGCAAAGGGAAAAGTTAAAGTTGGTACAAAAAGTCAGTTTGATTTGTGAAATGAGAGAAAAATCAACATAAATGGCAAGACTGTTGGAGAGGCTCTCATTGTAGAAATGGGGATTAAAATTTTCTTAAATTTTCAATGTATACAAAATGCTTAAAAACCTGACATTAGGTATTTTAATTCAAAATATGGATTGAACAAACCTATATTTTTTTTAATATTGTTTGTTCTTCAAATATAAGGCCTTTTTTTGTGTGTACTAGCAGTTCATTATTTTCATCTTTGAACAGTTTTGTGTGGAACAAATAATGTAACCCAGAGATTGACTACAATGGATATAGTAATAGTAGTAATAACCCTGTTTTGTTCATTTTCACAAATACTGTTGAGTATATACTATACTTTTTCTCTCATTTTCATAAAGATAATCTGTAAAGTGAAGTGGACCTCAGTTTTTAAGCATCTCTTTGTGGAAGATATTGTAAATAATTTGATTAAAATTTTAATTTAACAATTAGTTAATTGTCCATATCTTTGGCATGATCCTGTTTGAGTGCGTGAAGGAATATAATGAAACTGTACATTTGTAATTTTATTTTGCATACGAGAAGTGAATATTTTGTACTTGACCCAAACTTGAGGTTACTTGGTGACGAGTCAGGTGCAGTAGTGAGCAGGTGCTGTCTCTAGGTATAATTGTCTTGTTACATCAATATATGTTGATTATGATTTAATAAACTTGTACTAAATATATTGAGCCTGTTTTTATCAATCTTCTGATATTTACTTTAATCAGGGAAAGGAGGGAGGGGGGAAGCAGTAAACTTGTAGAAGTCATATAGCACCTTGAAAGTGGGAGATGTCCTGCCTTGTATATTTCTTTCTTCTTTCAACGCACCAGCCGTATATATGTTGGTAAAATTACTGACAATGTGTAAAGTAAAAGGACACACGTGCAACTAATGTAACATTTTATTGTGGCAAAGTTTCACTCTCCAGGAGCAAAATGCTCTCCAGGTAATGGCTTGACAAAGCTCCTGGAGAGTGAAATGTTGCCACAATAAATGTTACATTAGTTGCACTTGTGTCCTATTACTTTAGATATCCTCCCTTCTTTGGATGGAATTTGAATAAGTTCTGACTCAAGAAATCGTAATGACACGATTGCAAACAAACCATACCCCCGGCCGGGATTGAACCCGCGGTCATAGAATCTCAAAACTCCAGCCCGTCGCGTCAGGTTAGCCCGAAGGTTAGCACAGGCACCTCTGTGACCACAAATGCAAGTTTTTACAGACGAATCTCCAGCTAGTGTGGCCATGACGCACTCTAGCTCAAGTCCCTTCACTGCCGTCAACATGACTCATGTTGACGGCAGTGAAGGGACTTGAGCTAGAGTTCGTCACGGCCACGCTAGCTGGAGATTCGTCTGTAAAAACTTGCATTTGTGGTCACATTATTATTATTATAATCAAGGGGGAAGCGCTAAACCCGGAGGATTATACAGCGCCTGGGGGGGGGATGTGGAAGGCATTCAGGCTTAATTCGGGGAACTGGAGCACAGATCCAATTCCCTAAATCAAGAGCCCCTCACCAACATCAAGGAACCTTCCTTGAGGGGATTTGTGGTCACAGAGGTGCCTGTGTTAACCTTCCTATGGTGTAGAAATATACCTAGTTGGATGAATCTTATTGTGGCTAGCTGGTCTAGTGGCTAACGCGACGGGCTGGAGTTTTGAGAGACTATAACCGCGGGTTCAATCCCGGCCGGGGGTATGGTTTGAATAATTATTATAATCAAAAAGAAGCGCTAAGCGACAAGGACTATACAGCTTGGTTTGAATAAGTTCTGTTCTTTGGATCAAAAGCCTTTCACTATCATCGAGGCATCTCCCTCGAGGAGGTAATCTGCTAGAATATTTTTGCAGAATAGGCTTTTTCAATTTCTCATAGACTTGCTGAAAATTTTATGGGCTTTTATAAATTTAACAAACTTATTATATCTGCCATTTTTTTTTTCTGAGTAAATGGGTATTAATAAGTAAATTATTATTTTTTTTTTTTTTTATTATCACACCGGCCGATTCCCACCAAGGCAGGGTGGCCCGAAAAAGAAAAACTTTCACCATCATTCACTCCATCACTGTCTTGCCAGAAGGGTGCTTTACACTACAGTTTTTAAACTGCAACATTAACACCCCTCCTTCAGAGTGCAGGCACTGTACTTCCCATCTCCAGGACTCAAGTCCGGCCTGCCGGTTTCCCTGAATCCCTTCATAAATGTTACTTTGCTCACACTCCAACAGCACGTCAAGTATTAAAAACCATTTGTCTCCATTCACTCCTATCAAACACGCTCACGCATGCCTGCTGGAAGTCCAAGCCCCTCGCACACAAAACCTCCTTTACCCCCTCCCTCCAACCCTTCCAAGGCCGACCCCTACCCGCCTTCCTCCACTACAGACTGATACACTCTTGAAGTCATTCTGTTTCGCTCCATTCTCTCTACATGTCCGAACCACCTCAACAACCCTTCCTCAGCCCTCTGGACAACAGTTTTGGTAATCCCACACCTCCTCCTAACTTCCAAAACTACGAATTCTCTGCATTATATTCACACCACACATTGCCCTCAGACATGACATCTCCACTGCCTCCAGCCTTCTCCTCGCTGCAACATTCATCACCCACGCTTCACACCCATATAAGAGCGTTGGTAAAACTATACTCTCATACATTCCCCTCTTTGCCTCCAAGGACAAAGTTCTTTGTCTCCACAGACTCCTAAGTGCACCACTCACTCTTTTTCCCTCATCAATAATATGATTCACCTCATCTTTCATAGACCCATCCGCTGACACGTCCACTCCCAAATATCTGAATACGTTCACCTCCTCCATACTCTCTCCCTCCAATCTGATATTCAATCTTTCATCACCTAATCCTTTTGTTATCCTCATAACCTTACTCTTTCCTGTATTCACCTTTAATTTTCTTCTTTTGCACACCCTACCAAATTCATCCACCAATCTCTGCAACTTCTCTTCAGAATCTCCCAAGAGCACAGTGTCATCAGCAAAGAGCAGCTGTGACAACTCCACTTTGTGTGTGATTCTTTATCTTTTAACTCCACGCCTCTTGCCAAGACCCTCGCATTTACTTCTCTTACAACCCCATCTATAAATATATTAAACAACCACGGTGACATCACACATCCTTGTCTAAGGCCTACTTTTACTGGGAAAAAATTTCCCTCTTTCCTACATACTCTAACTTGAGCCTCACTATCCTCGTAAAAACTCTTCACTGCTTTCAGTAACCTACCTCCTACACCATACACTTGCAACATCTGCCACATTGCCCCCCTATCCACCCTGTCATACGCCTTTTCCAATCCATAAATGCCACAAAGACCTCTTTAGCCTTATCTAAATACTGTTCACTTATATGTTTCACTGTTAAACACCTGGTCCACACACCCCCTACCTTTCCTAAAGCCTCCTTGTTCATCTGCTATCCTATTCTCTGTCTTACTCTTAATTCTTTCAATTATAACTCTACCATACACTTTACCAGGTACACTCAACAGACTTATCCCCCTATAATTTTTGCACTCTCTTTTATCCCCTTTGCCTTTATACAAAGGAACTATGCATGCTCTCTGCCAATCCCTAGGTACCTTACCCTCTTCCATACATTTATTAAATAATTGCACCAACCACTCCAAAACTATATCCCCACCTGCTTTTAACATTTCTATCTTTATCCCATCAATCCCGGCTGCCTTACCCCCTTTCATTTTACCTACTGCCTCACGAACTTCCCCCACACTCACAACTGGCTCTTCCTCACTCCTACAAGATGTTATTCCTCCTTGCCCTATACACGAAATCACAGCTTCCCTATCTTCATCAACATTTAACAATTCCTCAAAATATTCCTTCCATCTTCCCAATACCTCTAACTCTCCATTTAATAACTCTCCTCTCCTATTTTTAACTGACAAATCCATTTGTTCTCTAGGCTTTCTTAACTTGTTAATCTCACTCCAAAACTTTTTCTTATTTTCAACAAAATTTGTTGATAACATCTCACCCACTCTCTCATTTGCTCTCTTTTTACATTGCTTCACCACTCTCTTAACTTCTCTCTTTTTCTCCATATACTCTTCCCTCCTTGCATCACTTCTACTTTGTAAAAACTTCTCATATGCTAACTTTTTCTCCCTTACTACTCTCTTTACATCATCATTCCACCAATCGCTCCTCTTCCCTCCTGCACCCACTTTCCTGTAACCACAAACTTCTGCTGAACACTCTAACACTACATTTTTAAACCTACCCCATACCTCTTCGACCCCATTGCCTATGCTCTCATTAGCCCATCTATCCTCCAATAGCTGTTTATATCTTACCCTAACTGCCTCCTCTTTTAGTTTATAAACCTTCACCTCTCTCTTCCCTGATGCTTCTATTCTCCTTGTATCCCATCTACCTTTTACTCTCAGTGTCGCTACAACTAGAAAGTGATCTGATATATCTATGGCCCCTCTATAAACATGTACATCCTGAAGTCTACTCAACAGTCTTTTATCTACCAATACATAATCCAACAAACTACTGTCATTTCGCCCTACATCATATCGTGTATACTTATTTATCCTCTTTTTCTTAAAATATGTATTACCTATAACTAAATTATTATTATTATTATAATCAAAAAGAAGCACTAAGCCATAAGGGCTATACAGCAATTAATAAGTAAAGAAAGTTTAAGGTGAAATGTGCTTCCCTCCTTCCGAGTATTTCAGGTATTTTTATGAATGTAGAATACCATGTTAAGTTTTTTTAATAATTTTTAGTACATTATTAGTACTGCATTCACTGGGAAATGGCCAAACCCACAAGAGTCATACAGTGCCTAGTGGGAATAATAGGCAATAAAGTTCAATACAAGCAAAGGGAGGATTCCTTGGATCAAGAGCCCCTCACCTCTCTTGAGGGGGAATTTTCAGTACAGTATTATATATGAAAAGATACGGTAAAAGGGTGCTGATGTTGAGAGGAGGTTAAGCAAATGTGAGAAGCAGTTGCAGTTTTTGCAACAAGTCAGAGAAAATCTGCATAAACTCAGGACTTTCCATGAAAAGGGCAGCCTGAGAGAAGGTAACAGCATCAAAGAACCTCCCAAAAGATTGTGACTGGGCAAAAGATATTTATATTTGCTGAAGGTGCAACATAACCAGCTGTTAAATACAAAGGATGATGGGATATGAATTAAAAGCTCTGGATTGCTTGTAATGCACTTTAAGTCTATAACTACAACAAGTGCAAAGGTGAACACAGTAGTAATGTGGATGACTGCAATGAGAAATGTATATAGCTTTTGTGAAAATACTTTGGGATCACACAATCTGGCAAAAAAAAGCTGTGTATCCATTCCAGTGGGAGGACATTACACAGGTAGACCAACACACAAACCACTACCAAACCAAGAAGAAACAATGCATAACCATCCAATTAAGGCAGTGGTCAACACCAAACCTCTTAATTTAACATCTATACTGTTGGAGAGGCAAGCTGAGCTTCTACTTAAGACAAAGTAGTGTGTTTATGGTACTTCATCTTCAGAGGGCATGGCATGGACTGTCCATAATTTTTCTTCCAGGAGCACTTATGAATGGCCAGGTTTTTGCAATGGCACGCTCTTAGTAAAGAAAACTGTGGGAAAGCCAGTCATAATCATACGTTGGTTATTGAACTGCAAAGGTCACTTCTATCTGATTTTCTCATAGAATGTGATTACCATGTTCCATCCTCTCCCAAGACACAACAAAACACTGTTTTAATGTACAACTTTTTTTTTTAACACATGGCAGTTTCCCACTGAGGCAGGGTGACCCAAAAAAGACACACATTCTCCAGCATTCAGCACTTTCATCAATATTCACACACAATCACTTAAAATTTTATTAATCTTAGTTTTCTAACAAGCACACCAGATATAATCTATAAACTTCCTTATATGTCATAAATATATAGGTCCAATAATTTATATCTTTATGCCCTAAATAAATGTGATTTCTGAAACTATACAGTGCAGCGTTACATTTTATTTACTTTATCCCTCCTCATTTTCTGCAAAGGAATAGTATTATCACCCATAGTGTCCTACCACATGATTATAAAACTGAAGATTGAGACACTTATCCAACATATGGGAATCTTTATTGAAGAAACGTTTTGCCACACAGTGGCTTCATCAGTCCAATACAAATCAGGTAATCAGTCCCTCAGCCTGGAGTCGATGTGTTCAGTCCATCATTCTTGTAGAAAGTACAGCATAGGGCCGTAGAAGTGGCTTATATACTGCACTCAGGAGAAATGCTTCTTCAATAAAGATTCCCATATGTTGCATAAGTGTCTCAATCTTCAACTAGTCAGTTTTAACCCCTTGACTGTTGCAACCCCAAATCCTGAGGTGTCTCCTGGTGTTGCAAAATTCCCCCCCCCCCAATATTTTTTCTTGTGAAATGATAGAGAATCTTTTCCTGATTGCAATGACACCAAAAGAACGAAAATTGATGGAAAACTGACGGAATTACGCTCTCGCGAAGTCAGCGACCTCAGCGATATTTACAAATTGGCAATTTCACCCACTTTGAGCCCTATTTTTCACTAATTCCATTGTTCCAGTCGATCAAACTCATAGCTATTTCTTTAGAACTCCATTTGTTTTAGCGAATGAGTACAGGAAACTGCCCATATACCGATTTCAACTAACCAATAACGTGGTCAGAAATTTGCAATTTGGCCAATTTCATGAAAATTAAAAAATGACAATTTCAAAATGGGGTCCAGAATGAACAATGCAGACATTCCTGGCTCTAAAATAACATTTTCTTTGTTCATCAGTCATGTCTCCAGGCCCCTCTGATATTACTCTTGCTTTCTATTTTGAATTTTTATTCTAACAAAAAAGAAGATTTACTGTTATGCAGACTACTGCAATATTGTAATAATTGTATAAATAATGTCAACCCATTCATGACTGCATATTAGAATGGCTAGTTGGACATTTATTGGACAATGACATCATTTGTTTACTTTTGAACATTGGCAAAAATCAAACATTTCCCCTATTTTGAGCTCCATTTCAAGGTTCTTTTCATAGTAAAACCAATCAAAATCACTTCTATTTCTATAATATGTTTTCCATTCGATCAAATGAGACCAAGAAAACGAGAATACAACCATAAATACCATACGAAAATAGACCACAAAGTCGGCATTTTAATTAACCCTTAAACTGTCCAAACGTAGATCTACGTTTTTTCAACATTTGAAAATATGTAAAAAAAGTAGATTTTTTTTTTACATATGAAAATGTAAAAAAACTTTGATTTACTTTTTTTTGTTATATTTGAAAATATATAAAAAAAAAACGTAGATCTACTTTTGGAGCACTAAGCATACGAACATAGATCTGCTTGGACAGTTTAAGGGTTAAAAAAACGGTCAGTTTTTTTTCTCATTATGCACTGCGTGCTGCAGGATAATTTTTTATATGGTGCACACTGACCACACAGATCCATTCTCTCACATGTGGGCCTACCAGCTTTCTCCTGCTTGATTTGAAGTCGCTAGAATTATTGAGTATATAAACGTCTGAAACACTGGCTCGTAAGACGTATATATACAGCCAAAACAGTCAAAGGGTTAAACCATTTATCACATATTATAAAACTATAATCCTTTTGCAGTTTGGAGTGACTATCTAAACTGTTGTATCTGGGTGCCTCTGCAAAGACAGTGATTATGTATGAGTGATGGTGAAAGTGTTGACTGATATTGAAATTTTTTTCTTTCTTTTGGGGTTTTTCTTTCTTTTAGGTCACCTTGTTTGGTGGGAGATGGCCAATGTGTTAAAAAAAAAAAATCCCTCTTGCTGAACACTAGGGGGCAAAAGCAGTGGAGTAACACTTAAAATAGTTTAACTATACAATACAGTATTACATGATATAATTTTTATTATTATAATCAAGGGGGAAGCTCTAAACCCATAGGATTATACAGAACTTGTAAGGGGGATATGTGGAAGGTATTCAGGCTTAATTCAGGGAACTGGAGCAGATCCAATTCCCTAGATCAAGAGCCCCTCACCAGCATCAAGGAACCTTTCTTGAGGGGATTACTTGATAGAAATGTCTAATCTTTTGTCACAATAAAGCAAGAAATTTTGTCTCTCATCACAATTAGCCCCCTTAAGGGAGGTTCCTAGATGCTGGTGAGGGGGCACTTGATCTAGGGAATTGGATCTGTGCTCCAGTTCCCTGAATTAAGCCTGAATACCTTCCATCCCCTCCCCCACAGGTGCTGTATAATCCCTATGGGTTTAGTGCTCCTCCTTGATTATAATTATAATTCACAATTAGCCATGTATATCTGACCCATGGACCTCTCATGAAAAGGATAGTGAAATATGTTAATCTTACTAAATTAGTAATTGATATATTAGCAAGAGCTTCATTGAAATGTTACCCAAACATATTCATTCCCAATACTCTTATGTAATAATTTAAATATAATATGAGATACTGTAATTAAAATATTAACAGAATAATAGTGAACTCTCAGTCTTTGGTTTAGGTATTCAATGAACTGTTTTTCATGGGCCCTGTACAACACCAAAAAAATACACACACACACACAGTATAAAGGAATACATTACAATTCATATTATGTACATATTTTAATAATGTAATTCACTGCAGTTGGTGGTGCACTGTTCTTGATGAAAAACACAGCCACACCAATGTTTTGGTCTTCACAGATTTGGCATTAGCTGTGACTTGTAGGTAAGTAATGCATCTGAATATTAAAGGAGCACTGTAGTTCTGGAGCTTTTTACTATGAAGGTTACAAAGACTAACACTGATGATGTATTATATGACAATATAATGGCATCCACTCAAAATCTGAAGCTATTTCCTTAAAATAATTTTTGAGGTATCCAAAATGAAGTGAAAAAAAGCACACATGGAAAATTGATAAGAAATCACTTATAATTAATACAGCAATGTGATCCATTATTTGACATATCTTATATAAGAGCTTCATTAATGTTAACACTGAGAGAATGTCTTTGGTCTTCTGGAGAGGCAATTAAAGAATGATAGTGAATGTAATTTCTGCCTTTACAGAAAATGACTGATGAGTTTAATGCAAAGTACCCCTTTGTAGTGACCTGAAACTCAAGATATTATCCAGAAAGAAAAGTACTTCTAAGGGCCACCTAATAAAGAGCAAAAAAGCACAATACCGTGACTAGAACAATACACATATAACCCGCACATAAGAAAAAGAAACTTATGACGATGTTTCAGTCCGACTTGGACCATTAACCCTTTCAGGGTTTCGGCCGTACTAGTACGGCTTACGAGCCAGGGCTTTTGACGTACTAGTACGCCTAAATTCCTGTGCCCTCAAATCTAGTGAGAGAAAGCTGGAAGGCCTACATATGAAAGAATGAGTCTATGTGGTCAGTGTGCGCGGTATAAAAAAAAATCCTGCAGCACACAGTGTGTAATGAGAAAATAAAAAACGTTGACCGTGTTTTTGATTAAAACAGCGACTTTGCACTGCATTTTCATATGGTATTTATTGTTGTATTCTCGTTTTCCTGGTCTCATTTTATAGAATGGAAGACATTACAGAAATTGAGATGATTTTGACTGGTCTTACAAAGAAAAGTATCTTGTTACACCAATACATAAAGGTGGTGACCCTACAGACTTAAACAACTATAGGCCAATATCAAACTTACCATTGCTATCCAAAATCTTTGAGAAACTCGTGCACAGGAGACTATATTCATTTATAACAGCACAAAACATACTCAACCCCTGCCAATTTGGATTTAGGAAAAATAAAAGCACTAATGATGCAATCATAAAAATGCTAGATCTGCTTTACACGGCATTGGAAAATAAGGAATATCCACTAGGAATTTTTATTGACCTAAGAAAAGCTTTTGACACAGTAGACCACGACATCCTACTCCACAAACTTGACCATTACGGTATAAGAGGCCATGCGCTTGCTTATTTCAAATCTTACCTTACTAATAGGTATCAGTATGTTACCATTAAAGACACAGCATCAACAACACGGCCACTTGATACTGGAGTTCCGCAGGGAAGTGTCCTTGGTCCCCTGCTCTTCCTCATATACATCAATGATCTTCCAAACGTATCCCAACACCTGAAACCCATTCTCTTTGCTGACGACACGACTTATGTCATCTCTCACCCTAATCTTGCCACCCTCAACACCATTGTTAACGAGGAGCTGATCAAAATATCGACTTGGATGACAGCCAATAAACTTACGCTTAACACTGACAAAACCTACTAGTATATTATGTTTGGTAGCAGAGCAGGAGATGCACAAATTAACATTAAGATCGACAACACTCTAATTACCAGACATAATAAGGGCAAATTCCTAGGCCTATACCTTGACAACAACCTGAATTTCAGCACCCATATCCAACACATAACCAAAAAAGTATCCAAAACAGTTGGGATCCTCTCCAGGATACGATACTATGTGCCGCAAAATGCCCTTCTCACACTATACCACTCACTTATTTATCCATACCTCACCTATGCTATTTGTGTTTGGGGATCAACTGCAGCAACGCACCTAAAGCCAATAATAACCCAACAAAAAGCTGCAGTAAGAATAATCACTAAATCCCATCCCTGGCAACACACCCCCCCACTCTTCATAGATCTAAACTTACTCCCTGTTCGATACATCCACACTTACTACTGTGCAATCTACATCTACAGGACCTTAAACTCCAATATCAACCTTGACCTAAAACGCTTTCTTGATAGCTGTGACAGAACCCACAGGCATAACACCAGACACAAACATCTCTACGACATTCCCCATGTCCGACTAAACCTTTACAAAAATTCAATGTATGTCAAAGGTCCTAAAATCTGGAACACCCTACCTGAGAACTCTAGAACTGCAGACACATTCATCACCTTCAAAACTACCATTAGAAAACATCTTATCTCCCTGATAAACCCCATCAACTAACTACACGAATACCACCTGGTGGTTCACACTTACACTCACTCACCCATTTGACCATAAACAGAAATATTAATCTCAATCTTAAAATAATGAATCCTATGATACTCCAATACTGAAACTATGTACTGTGCCAAAACAAAAGCATTCACATTGCTAAACTCACAAACTAGTATTTAGTTACTTAGCCATAATACCAACTTACCTCATAATTTGTAATATTTTAAAATTAAGAATTAAACTAAGTCTGCCCGAAATGCCTAGCCATGCTAGGCGTTCTAGTGGTACACTCTGTAATCATTATTTAACTACAAGTAAACCACACAACAACCAAATTCTGTAAATTCAACATTGTAATCTTTATAGAGAATAAACTTTGAATTGAATTTGAAATTGAGCTCAAAGTAGCAGAAATGTTCGATTTTTACCAAAGTTCAAAAGTAAACAAATCATGATATGCATCCAATACACGTCAACTGGTGAGTCTAATATTGTTTCACAAGTGCGCTGATATTATTTATACCATTTCTACACCAATGCAGTAGTCTGCATAACAGTAAATCTTCTATTTTTTTGAGAATATTATTATTATTATTATAATCAAAAAGAAGCGCTAAGCCACAAGGGCTATTTTGAGAATAAAAAATCAAAGTGGAAAAAAAAAAAAATGTAAGAGGGGCATGGAGATGTGACTAATGAACAGAGAACTTGTTATTTTAGTGCCAGGAATGTCTTTCTTGTTTATTCTGGACCCTATTTGGAAATTGGCATCTTTTGAAATTTGTGTGAAATTGGCAAAATTGCTAAATTCTGACCACTGTATTGGATAGTTGAAATCAGTAAATGGGTGGTTTCTTGTACTCATTCGATAGAAAAAATGGAGTTCTAGCGAAATAGTTTTGATTTTTGTCGACAAGTACACTGAATTGGCTGAAAATAGGGCTCAAAGTGGGCAAAATCGCCGATGCGTAAACATTGTCGAGACCGCTAACTTCGCTAAAGCATAATTCTGTAAGTTTTCCACCAAATTTCATACTTTTGGTGTCATTATGATCGGGAAAAGATTATCTATCTTTTCATAAGAATTTTTTTTTTTTTTTTAAATTTGGCCGACCCTGAAAACAAGTCTCTGAGAGGGCCTGTCGACCCTGAAAGGGTTAACTAGTCACACATGTGCAACTAGTTAATGGTCCAAGTCGAACCAAATGTCATAAATATCTTTCTCCTATGTGAGGGTTATTTGTGGCCACCTAATATTGCACTGAACATTATGTTATTCAAAATCAGCAATCTATATTAACAAATTCTCAATGTTCTGCTGTTGAACATACACCCACTTTATGTTGTTACATTTGCTTCTTAACTAAGGAGAGTAACCAGACATTAATAAAGCTGCAAACTGGTCTATCTCAGCTTTCTTGCTTCGAATGTAAACCATTGTCTCCCATAAAGCATTGACAAGAATTTCATCCCGAGTCTCGTCCAGCTGAACATCCAAGGAAAGTTGAGGAGATAAGCGCAAGTATGCTATGCCACATGATCCACACCAAGCACGTGCCCTGTCAACTGTACGATTATCTGCCATTGTTGCCTATAATAAAGAAATATTTGGTTTGCATATGATCATTATTACGATACAAGAAAATTCATAAAGTATATTTTTTAAGTTTTTGAAAGTAGTCACAAAAATGTTAAAATTTCTTATATACAGCATATTGTGAATATTCTGGTGAAAAAGCACAAAATAAAAATTATACATACTTGGTCAATTAGCATCTTTGCAATATTTGAGAGACCAAAAGCCATTTGCACTGTGCTCCACATACTCTCAGGTCTAAAGCAGTCAATGGCATTAACCTGAAATCAGATCAGCAATCTTTTTAATTTATAAAATAGAGAGTGTATATTTACACTAAATGCATTTAGATGTTTGTTTACATTTTGACCATAGTCAAGGCAACCATGTACACCATATTACTATGATGCATTTTAATTGGTCTGTCAATTTAAATTACTTCAGTTATTGCCACATAAGTTATATAATTTATTAAAATAAATGAAAAAGGTACAAGTATATCTCCATAAAGAACACAAAAATGCAAGCATCATATACCTGGTAAAGAAAATCATAATTGCCAATATAAATCTATTCTTGACTAATGATAATGATACACTAGGCTATCAATACTGAATAATATATTGCATTTGTTTTTGCTGTATTCATACATTTTTTTTTTCAACGAGTCAGCCGTCTCGCACTGAGGCAGGGTGACCCAAAAAAGAAAGAAAATCCCCAAAAAGAAAATACTTTCATCATCATTCAACACTTTCACCACACTCACACATAATCACTGTTTTTGCAGAGGTGTTCAGAATACAACAGTTTAGAAGCATATATGTATAAAGATACACAACATATCCCTCCAAACTGCTAATATCCCGAACCCTCCTTTAGAGTGCAGGCAATGTACTTCCCATTTCCAGGACTCAAGTCTGGCTATATAAAAATAACCAGTTTCCCTGAATCCTTTCACTAAATATTACCCTGCTCACACTCCAACAGATCATCATCTCCCAAATACCATTCGTCTCCATTCACTCCTATCGAACACGCTCATGCACGCCTGCTGGAAGTCCAAGCCCCTCACCCACAAAACCTCCCTTACCCCTTCCTTCCAACCTTTTCAAGGACAACCACTACCCTGCCTTCCTTTCCCTACAGATTTATATGCTCTCAATGTCATTCTACTTTGATCCATTCTCTCTAAATGACCAAACCACCTCAACAACACCTCTTCAGCCCTCTGACTAATACTTTTATTAACTCCACACCCTCTCCTAATTTCCACACTTTGAATTTTCTGCATAATATTTACACCACACATTGCCCTTAGACAGGACATCTCCACTGCCTCCAACCACCTCCTCGCTGCTGCATTCACAACCCAAGCTTCACACCCATGTAAGTGTTGGTACTACTATACTTTCATACATTCCCTTCTTTGCCTCCATAGATAACGTTTTTTGTCTCCACATATACCTCAATGCACCACTCACCTTTTTTCCCTCATCAATTCTATGATTAACCTCATCCTTTATAAATCCATCTGCCGACACGTCAACTCCCAAGTATCTGAAAACATTCACTTCTTCCATACTCCTCCTCCCCAATTTGATATCCAATTTTTCTTTATTTAAATCATTTGATACCCTCATAACCTTACTCTTTTCTATGTTCACTTTCAACTTTCTACCTTTACATACATTCCCAAACTCATCCACTAACCTTTGCAATTTTTCTTTAGAATCTCCCATAAGCACAGTATCATCAGCAAAAAGCAAGTGTGTCAATTCCCATTTTGTATTTGATTCTCCATAATTTAATCTCGCCCCTCTCCTGAACACCGTAGCATTTACTTCTTTTACAACCCCATCTATAAATATATTAAACAACCATGGTGACATTACACATCCCTCTCTAAGACCTACTTTTACTGGGAAGTAGTCTCCCTCTCTTCTACACACCCTAACCTGAGCCTCACTATCTTCATAAAAACTCTTTACAGCATTTAGTAACTTACCACCTATTCCATATACTTGCAACATCTGCCACATTGCTCCCCTATCCACTCTATCATATGCCTTTCCTAAATCCATAAATGCAATAAAAACTTATTATTTATTATTTATTATCACACTGGCCGATTCCCACCAAGGCAGGGTGGCCCGAAAAAGAAAAACTTTCACCATCATTCACTCCATCACTGTCTTGCCAGAAGGGTGCTTTACACTACAGTTTTTAAACTGCAACATTAACACCCCTCCTTCAGAGTGCAGGCACTGTACTTCCCATCTCCAGGACTCAAGTCCGGCCTGCCGGTTTCCCTGAACCCCTTCATAAATGTTACTTTGCTCACACTCCAACAGCACGTCAAGTATTAAAAACCATTTGTCTCCATTCACTCCTATCAAACACGCTCACGCATGCCTGCTGGAAGTCCAAGCCCCTCGCACACAAAACCTCCTTTACCCCCTCCCTCCAACCTTTCCTAGGCCGACCCCTACCCCGCCTTCCTTCCAATAAAAACTTCTCTACTTTTATCTGAATACTGTTCACATATATGCTTCAATGTAAACACTTGATCTACACATCCCCTACCCACTCTGAAACCTCCTTGCTCATCTGCAATCCTACATTCTGTCTTACCTCTAATTCTTTCAATTATAACCCTACTGTACACTTTTCCTGGTATACTCAGTAAACTTAATCCTCTATAATTTTTACAATTTCTTTTGTCCCCTTTCCCTTTACATAAAGGGACTATACATCCTCTCTGCCAATCCCTAGGTACCTTCCCCTCTTTCATACATTTATTAAACAAAAATACCAACCACTCCAACACTATATACCCCCCCCTGCTTTTAACATTTCTGTCATGATCCCGTCAGTTCCAGCTGCTTTACCCCCTTTCACTCTACGTAATGCCTCACGCACCTCCCCTACACTCACATCCTGCTCTTCTTCACTCCTACAAGATGGTATACCTCCCTGGCTAGTGCACAAAATTACCGCCTCCCTTTCTTCGTCGACATTTAAAAGTTCCTCAAAATATTCTCGCCATCTACCCAAAACCTCCATCTCCCCATCTACTAACTCTCATACTCTGTTTTTAACTGACATATCCTTTCGTTCCCTAGGCTTTCTTAACTTGTTTAACTCACACCAAAATATTTTCTTATTTTCATTAAAATTTCTTGACAGTGCCTCTCCCACTCTATCATCTGCTCTCCTTTTGCACACTCTCACCACTCTCTTCACCTTTCTTTTACTCTCCATATACTACTCTACTCTTCGTATAACACTTCTGTTTTGTAAAAACCTCTCATGAGCTACCTTTTTCTCTTTTATCACACCCTTTACTTCATCATTCCACCAATCACTCCTCTTTGCTCTTGCACCCACCCTCCTATAACCACAAACTTATTCCCCACATTCTAATACTGCATTTTTAAAACTATTCCAACCCTCTTCAACCCCCCCACTATTCATACTTGCACCAGCCCACCTTTCTGCCAATAGTTTCTTATATCTCCCCTGAACTTCCTCCTCCCTTAGTTTATACACTTTCATTATATATTTTAGCCACCAGGCCCGGTGGCCTGGTGGCTAAAGCTCCCGCTTCACACACGGAGGGCCCGGGTTCGATTCCCGGCGGGTGGAAACATTCGACACGTTTCCTTACACCTGTTGTCCTGTTCACCTAGCAGCAAATAGATACCTGGGTGTTAGTCGACTGGTGTGGGTCGCATCCTGGGGGACAAGATTAAGGACCCCAATGGAAATAAGTTAGACAGTCCTCGATGACGCACTGACTTTCTTGGGTTATCCTGGGTGGCTAACCCTCCGGGGTTAAAAATCCAAACAAAATCTTATCTCTCTTATCTTATCTCCCTCTTACTTGTTGTTGTCATTTTCCTCTTGTCCCATCTACCTCTTACTCTAACTGGCACCCCAAATTTACTTACTACTCCCTCCACAACATTTTTTCCCACTTTAGCATTGAAATCCCCAACCACAAATACTCTCACACTTGGTTCAAAATTCCCCACGCATTCACTCAAAATTTTACAAAATCTCTCTCTCTCCTCTACACTTGTCTCTTCTCCAGGTGCATATATGGTTACTATAACCCACTTTTCACATCCAACCTTTATTTTACTCCACATAATCCTTGAATTAATACATTTGTAGTCCCTCTTTTCCTACCATAGCTTATCCTTCAACATTATTGCTACTCCTTCTTTAGCTCTAACTCTATTTGAAACCCCTGACCTAATCCCCACAGAGGGTCCGTCGTTTTATACATAAAGATGATTACCATCGACCCATGATATTGAGCAACCTCCCTGATGAAGAAGATTGGGTAACACCAGAACCCTTCTATGTATACTGAGAACATCATCGCCCCCAATTAGGGAGAAATCTTATATAACAATCTAATGTAAAAATTATGCTATTTACTATGGCTGGACACCACCTGTAAGAAGCCATTGTCACGTAATTCTATAAACTGGCCAGAAAATTATTGCCTTCATTGTCGCATAAATATCCGTTGTGCAATCGCAAAAAAAAAAAAAAAAAAAAAAAAAAAAAAAAAAAAGCAATTGCAACTTGTATAATTACTACCAATTCAGAGTCATGTACTTATATATCTGTTATATCTATGTGACTCTGATGGGTTAGTCTTATACCCCTTAAAGAATATCTTATCATTTCACGTACACTTTTTAAATTACACCAAAGTGGTTGGGCCACTTACCTTTTATATCCTACCTCTCTCCCCCCTCCCACCCTTTTCCAAAATTTCTATCCTTACCCATCCTTCTTCCTTACACATCTCATCAAAGCTCTGGTCTGGACAAGAAGAAACAAGACTTAATCCCATTTATTCCTCTCCACTGAAACTCTCCCACCCCTTTCAGCTTTGTTTCACTTAAAGCCAGGACATCGTTTCTTCTCATTCATAACATCCACAATCATCTCTTTTTTTTTTATCATCTGCACAACATCCACGCACATTCAGACATCCCACTGTGACAAATTTTCTTCTTATTCTTTTTAGTAATTATTACATGAAAAGGGGTTACTAGCCCATTGTTCCCGGCATTTTAGTTGACTTTTACAACACGCATGGCTTACGGAGGAAAGATTCTTATTCCACTTCCCCCCAGATATAAAAGGGAAAGTAATAAGAACAAGAACTATTAAGATCAAATCAAATAAAACTCAGACGAGTGTGTATAAATAAACGTGTACATGTATGTGACCTAAATGTAAGTAGAAGTAGCAAGACGTA